GCTGTGATTCATGGGGTCACAAAGAGTCGGACATGACTGAGCAACTGAACTGAACTGCACTGAACTGATGGTAGTTCTATTTTTAGTTTCCTGAGAAATCTTCATACTGTTTTCTACAGAGGCTGCATCAAGTTACATCCCCCAAACAGTGCACAAAGATTCTGTTTTCTTCACGTCCTCCCCACTGTTTGTTATTTTTATTCTTCTTGATGATAGCCATTTTGATAGGTGTGAGGTGATACCTCATGGTTTTGAATTGTGTTTACCTGATGAGTAGAGATGTTGAACATATTTTCATGTTCTGTTAGACATTTCCTTTCCTCTTTGGAAAAGTGTCATATCAGTTTATCTTTCTGCCCGTTTTTAAATCTAGTTGTTTGTTTTTTGATCTTAAGTTTATATGTGTTGGACATTAATCTCTTATCAGTCATATCATTTGCAAGTATTTTCTCCCATTAGGTTGGTTGTATTTTCATTTTGTCAATGATTTCCTTTGCTGTGCAAAAGCTTTCAAGTTTGCTTAGGTCCTATTTGTTTATTTTTGGTTTTGTTTCCTTTATTTTAGGAGACAGATTAAAAAAAAATTCTGTGATTTATGTCAAAGGGTGTTCTGCCTATGTTTTGCTCTAGGAGTTTTATAGTATCCAGTCTTAAATTTAGGTCTTTAATCCATTTTGAGTTTATTTTTGTATATAGTATTAGAGAATGTTCTAATTTCATTCTTTTACATGTAACCGCCCAGTTTCCTCAGCACTACTTATTGAAAAGACTGTCTTTTCTCCATTGTATATTCTTGCCTCCTTTGTATTAGTTGCCATAGGCACATGGATTTATCTCCAGGCTTTTTATCCTGTTCACTGATCTCTGTGTCTGTTTCTGTGCCAGTGCCATACTGTTTTGATTACCGTGGCTTTTGATGACTGTTGATTGTGTGAAGTCAGGGAGCGTGACTCCTCCAGCCCTGCTCTTTCTCAGGACTGTTTTGGCTATTCCGGGACTTTTGTGTTTCCATACAGATTGTAAGTTTATTTGTTCGAGTTCTGTGAAAAATACCATTGATATGTTTATAGGGATGGAATTGAGTCTGTAGATTACCTTGGGTAGTATAGTCATTTTAATAACTGATTCTTCCAAACCAAGAACACAGTATATATTTCCATCTGTTTGTGTCATATTTAGTTTCTTTCATCAGTGTCTTTTTGAGTACAAGTCTTTTACCTCCTTAGGTAGGTTGATTTGGTGGATTATTAATTTGGCTATTATATGTATGTATGTATATGTTATGTATATCTATGTATATGTGCACATCTATGTTTAATTAATTATGTTTTACCATAGAAGATTTCCTAAAAGGTCTTACTCAAAAAGCTGGGATAGGAAGTTGCCATGGAAACTGACCTCCAAAGCAAGGTTGCCAGTGGAAATTGTAGCTTGTAATGTTGTGTTGGTACAGCATGTAAGCATACCCTGTCTGTGGTAGATAAAGAGACAACAGAATCTGAGTGACATAATAACATAGTGTATCCAAAAGTAGTAATATTTTGCTGGCAGAGAGAGGACAAACTCTTTCTGATGTGGTTTAGAAAACCTTCAATGAGAAGCAAGGAATCCTGAGGTGTTTTATGGTACTTTGACCTCAGTTTTCTCATCTGTGAAGTGGGAGCATTGGTTATTCAGAGATGGAATATGGAAAAGGCAGAGGTGGGCTTTGACCCTGAGAACTAATGACTCTACTTCCCCATTCAACAAGAGCAGCTCTTTCTTTACTTTTTAAATCCGAGGTATGTATTAAAAGCCCTTATAAGATATTAATTTGAAATAAAATATTTTATTGCTTAAAGAATTTGAAGATGTCTAAATTAGATTATCTTTAAGGTTCCTCCAGCTCCAAAAACTACTCTGGCTCTAAAATAAAGAAAAGTTAACTTTCTCATACATGTTTACTTTTTTAAAGCTTTTCTAAAATGAAACAAAATCATGCTTCACAAACTTATAAAGACTATTTTTGGTCCTCCTTCTCTGATTAGCTTACTTAAAAGTGAAGGTGATTTCTTTCCTTTTTCTTCCAAAATTCACTTTTCTCTGACTTGATTAACATCCCAGTAACACAAAGAAAAAGCCATAGATATGGTGGAGGGCAGGAAGTTGAGGATCATCCTTTTAAATTCCCTTCTATCCTTTCATTCTAGGCTAGTCCTTAGAGAAACCATGATGTAGTTAAAGTATGTATTCAGCAATACGCATCTTTCTTTTCAGCATTTCTTCTCCCCAGTCCTCTCCAGATGACCTCATAGAATCATAAAGGTGAAACAGACATAAAAAACTTTTTGCATAAATTCTTTAAAGATGTGGAAAATGGGATCCTGTGAAGGGGACAGTTTTGTATTGGATAAAGTAATGAGTCATAACTCAAATTCTGGCCTTTTCCAGTTCAGTTCTCTTTCTGGTAGGTTTAGATAACCTCCTTGTGCTTTGATTTTCTACTATAAAATGGAGATAATAATAGCATTTTCTTTATAATATTGTTGTTGGTATTATGTGAGTGTAGAGCCCTTAGAACAGGGTTGGGACTGTAAAAAGTTTCAATATGTACTCACTATTATTATCATTACTGTGCTTCCATGTTATGATAGCAGGTTGCCCAAGGTATACAGTCTGATGGGAACTCCATTTGGGTATCATACCTCTCTTGCATCCCCCAAACAAGTCATTAAAATAACCTCTTAATGTCCGATTCCACCAGGTCACTGTTCTGAGCTTGGTGACATTGGGTGAGTAAATTGGTGTCATCTAGGTAAATGAATTTTATGTTAATATGTTGACTGCTTAACCCTGCCTTTGCCTTCAACTCAGTGAACTGTAAGTGCTTCCAGAAACTCTTTAAGGACCAAGTTTAATGAGGTGAGTTAAGATTGTTGTAGGTGAGTGTGTGAGTCCTTTTCAGTCAAAAAGTTCTGTCATCTCACCTTGAAGCAGATACCTTTTCCACTGGAATGAATGGGGTCAGCCATGCCATCCTCATCACTTTTAACTCTAATTTCTGGAAAATAAATGCCCACTTCCCAATGGATGAGCATTTAGGATTTAAACACTCTTAAAATTTTCTTTATCGAGGCCACTTGAATGGAATTTTACTTGAGCAATGGAGAAAAGCTAGTTCTCACCTTTACATTTATCTTAATTTTGAGAAGCAGGCAAATATCTGATGGACAGAAAAAGAATACTGGGAGTGTAACTGGAAGAATCATTAACTTCCAGTGGAGGAAAACACCATTATGGGGGCAAGCTGTGTCTTGAATCTCAGGAGCCCTGAGTCCCAGGTTTGACATGGCCCCTGGGAAGTGGTGATGGCTGTATTTAGAAGGGAGTTTGACCACCAGTCTGTGACATCAGGGCTGAAATCAAATTGTCAGAAGTTTTTCTTTTTCTGTCTTTGGTCTCTTTTTGAATGCCACCTCCCGCCTCCCCTTGTGGCTCAGCTGGTAAAGAATCCCTCTGCAATGCAGGACACCTGGGTTGGGACGATCCCCTGGAGAAGGGAGAGGATACCCTCTCCAGTATTCTGACCTGGAGTATTCCATGGATTGTATAGTCCATAGGGTCGAAAAGAGTCGGACACGATTGAGCGACTTTCACTTCTTTCCCTCCTCCCCTTACTCCCATTCTGTTGGAGCAGTTCACTTGATTGACATTGTGAATGACCTCCGGGGACTCAGATACTGAGTTGTAGCCTCCTGGAGCTGAAACTCCTCTCCACTGTCAATACCTGCCCAGCACAGCCCTGCAGGGACCCTTTGAGAGTCTGTCAGTGGAAACTCCTACCGCCTTACTTTTGTTTATATTTTCCTTTTCTCACACCATTTTTTTTTTTTTTTTTTTGCGGCGGGGAGGGGAGAGAGAGATGGAGACTCCCATTAGGAAGACTGTATCGAGAGTTTCTAAGTGTGATGTGTGGTTACTTTAGTTCCTGTCAATCGCTTTAATATTTCAAAATGGAACCGGCTCTCTGGCGGGCGTGGAAGTGAGCGCTGTGAATGAAATCTCCAAGCACGAACTCCGCGGAACCTCACCTTGGCTGTCTGCCCCACCAGCCGCCGGAGAGGACGCAGACCTCGGTTCCCTGGGATTTCCGAGTGTGGTGCCGTGCTATTCATTTTGTGCGGGCTTCGGGAGCCATCGGCACGCGGGGCTGGGGGCCCTGCGCCGCGGCGGGCCGCCCTGGCGCGCGCGGGTCTCCGGCTGCGGGGCTGGGGCCCCGCGAGCTTGTGCCCCGCAGACGGCAGTGCTCCGCGCGCCCCTCCCTCTGCGCCCGCGGGTGCCAGACCTGACGCCGGCCCCTGCGCGCTCGCGGACGGCTCTTCGCAGTTGTCAGTTTTCTCGCTTGTCAGCAGAGCTGCTGGTAAGTGACAGAAAACAGAGAGGGGGCGCGAAGGCAGCGAGGCAGGGAGAGAGGGCCCGGAGGGGGAGCCTCGGGACGCCCCAGGGCAGGGGGCGCTGGCGCAGCCAGGGTGCGCGTCCTCAGGGTCAGGCCGAGCGGCCGCGCGCTGGCTCCTTCTGGGTTCATCCCTCTCCCCGCGCTCCCCTTCTCACTTTCTCGCTCCTCGCCGCCTCTCCTCCCTTCTCGGGCCTCCCTTTCCCCTACAGTACTTCAGCAGCCACACGGTTCGTTCCCGCGGCTTTGTTTGAGGACAGAAAAAAAGAAGACTAGTAGGTCCGAGGTGCTTTCTCCTAGAGCAAAAGCACAATTCCTACCCTTGGCACTAGCCCGGGAGCGTGGCTGGTTCCCGCAGCTGCCTCCGGGGGGCATCTGGGCCCAGGGCCGCCGGCTTTCCGGGCCCGCTTTAAGCCAGGATTTGGGGGGCGCAGAAAGGGGAGCGCACGCAGAAAGTGAGGCAGACGCGCGGCGCCGGGCTGGAGCTGGAGGGCTGGACTGGGCCAGGAGGCGGGCGGGGACAGCCCAAAACTCACTCGGGCCTCACTCCCAGTGATAACCTGCAGCTATGGAGTCGCCCACCAAGGAGATTGAAGAATTTGAGAGCAACTCTCTGAAATACCTGCAACCCGAACAGATCGAGAAAATCTGGCTTCGGCTCCGAGGGCTGTAAGTAAACCTGTTTACTTCTCTTGCCTCATTCCCCTCTCTCATCAGTATTTTAACTACACAGCCCCGGTCACGACTGCTCACTCTCACTCCTGCATGGCCCTTTAAATACAGCGGGAGAAGTTCCACAACCGCTTCCTAGTTAATTACAGTCACTGCTGCCTTGCTTTCAACAATGAGACGTGTCTTTCTGAGTGCTGTAGAATGCCTTGCTGTTTCCAAGTCATGCTTTCTTTGAGGAAGGGGAGATGTCCTTAGATTTCACTTACAGTATAGCTCAATATTCATGGAGAATTTTTTTTTTTAAATTGACCAGGGGAGAAAAGTTTGGGGACTCAGATCACAGATTTTTAATCAAAGGAAGAGTTATTCTCTGGAAAATGCTTGCAGACACCTTGGCAGGTGGTCCAAGAACTTACCAACAGTTCAAATTCAATATGCCTTCTGGCTGTTAAATCTTCCTCTTTCTCTCCCTAGCCTACTGCAACTTCAGATATTTTCTTAGGATTCTTTCTAGCAGGAAAAGAGTTACTGGAAGGAAGGGCTGTTTTTGGAGACAGTAGGGTTCAGAAACAATATTGGAGTTTCCTAGCAAGATCTGAACACTGAAACAGGTCATTTGTTTTCAATATGGTGGCCAGAATTCTAGCTGGACGGAGGGACAGAGATCTCTGAATTTCATTCACTTCATTGGGTTCTGCCTGTTCTTGGGTGCTGAGGAGAAGTGATCTGAAAGTACATGTTTTTTTCTGTGAAAAGATTTCTTAAACAATGAACTGCTGGTTATCCCAGTCAGGAAGCTGTAGTGACAGCTGTATGGTTACGGCTTGCTTCTCAGTTGACCAGGTAGGGTCCAAAGATACCTTCCATAACCACCAGATATTTGCCATCAAATATCTAGTGCAGGTTAAAAAAAAACAGGTTTTCTCCAAGTATATTTTCCAGATACTCTGTTCCTACCAAGGGCGGTGATAGGAAAACCAGCTCCTGTGTAGTTTGTTTTGTTGCAGTTATGTTTTTGAAAGCACACATGTATGCCTGTGCACGTACACACACACACACACACACACACACACGCACACACACACACATACCCCAAAACAAATCAGAAAGGCACTGATCTGAGTTATCTTCATCTTGGGGGAGACTATATTCCAACCAGGATATTCAGAGTTTCTAAAGGAAAGCAGTAAGATAGGTGTTTCTTTAAGGCATCCCTATTTAAAGTGCACTTTGTAAGAGCGCTTCCATCAGTAATCAAAGTGAGTTTCATTGCCATTGATCTAAATGGGAAACCATGCCAAGTAGCGTGATTTTTGGATTGTTTGGCTGCTGCAAGCAGAGGCTGTAAACTTATGAGGAAATCTGGTCTTTTTGGGTGGCAGGCTCTTCCAGCAGTTGAGATGCATGCAATGCAGCACCTCTTTCACAGAGGTGTTTAAAAGTTCATGTCCTACGTAATGAACATTCCATCTCATCATACTGAGGTGCACACAGAAAGTTTGTTGCATCCACAAAGTCTGGGTCCCTTTTATACAGTGTCAAGGTGTTGTTAAGCTGGTCTCCTTGCCACCCCAGCAGGAGGGACTCATATGCATATACTCAAAAACTGCTTCCCTTAGGCTTCTTTACAGTTTCAACCAACTCAACAGAGCTACTCAGGTTGGAGTAGAGGGTTTGGGCAAATCAGCCAGGCTGAGGTGGGAAACTTATATGAAAAAGTATTTGGAGCTTACAACGAACACACAGTCTCAACTTCCTCTGTTTCATCCATTAGGCTTCTCTCCCCAGATTGTTGGGGTGTGATGTATCTGTTTACCCAGCACCCTGTAGTTTTGAATATAAAAGGTGTGGGTTGATTCTTTTCCAAGCCTGTGTTTTTGAGTCCCTCTCTGAAACATCCTGCTCAGCAGCAGTCCCAGGAGATCTGTAACTTCACGTTTCTAATTTGAAAAAGGACATGTTACTATTGTTATGACATTATTTTTTTTTTTACTACTGTTATGGTTCTTACTACCACTTTAAAACAAAACAAAACAGTAGTGCTATAATAAGTTGCTAAAGATTCTGGGGACCAAAGCACATGCTTTTTTATACAACTTAGAATAACACTTCTGCAGTTAACAAAATAGAAACATTAGGAGATGGAAGGATGTGTATCTATTTGTCTGCACAGTGCATTAACAATAAGAGAAAAGAAGCTGCTCTTCCACATTTTAGAAAGGCTCAATAGCCACTGTTGGATTTTTACACCAATTTATTATCACGACATCTATATAGTAGGGGCTTTATACGTGACCAGAAATAGTCAGGAATTCAGTTCAGCTTGTTTGAGAGCCATCTAATCTCAGGACTTGATCATCTCCTGCCTGGACTGTTCACTGGCATCTGTCTCCTTCTTGTAAGTATCTTGCCTATTTAATCAATTTTTGAATTTTTCATCTCCTCAATTAAAATGTTAGTTCTTTAGGGTGGTGACTGTGTGTGTCTTGCTCACTGCTGTAACCTCCAGTGCCTAGAACAAGGTTTGGTACATAGTAGGTACTTAATCAATATGTGATGAAAGAAGTATGAAGACTCAGAGGTAAACTTCAATATTCAAAATGAAGATTATAGGCTTATAGGTCACATGATACTATCAACACAAAAGTTCATGAACTAGATGGGTGGTGGGTTTAATTAACATCATTGCCCAGGTTGGGCACAGGAATCTAAACTGAAGTGGAAAGTTGGGAAGGCCACGGCTTATATTTAGCTAGGTTCTCTCTTTTCCTCCCCTTATCTCTCTTCTTTTCTGCACTGGTCTGGAGTGGTCTTTACCAGCAGCAAGAGGATTATTGCCAAGAATCTACAGTGCAGAGAATATAGGGGCTGATCCTCTATATAGTATAAGCCCCACACATCCCCCTGTCCACGCTTTACTTTTTTCTTTAGCATGTTTCACTATCTTGATACTATATGTTTAATTTATTTGTTATGTTTACTTCCTCCAACTAAAATATATGTTCCCTGAGGACATAGTTCTGTGTTTTTTTTTTTTTTGGTCTGTTTTAGTTATGAAAGTACCTCCAGTATCTACAGATACTATGTGGTCTACAGTAAATTACCAATACATATTTGAAAGCTAGGACTGGTTGATGTATTTCTCTAGGAAAGAATTAGGAAGAACTCTTAATCTAACCTTGTAACATCCTCAGCATACTAATCGTACGTCAAATATTGGAAATGTGAATTTTAAGCACTATCTACCACCGCTGAGGTGACAAAACCCTGCAAGCCCAGGTGTTTATTATGACAACTCCCTCTTCCCTTGAGGGAGGTGCTGCCCACCAATGTGTGGAGGCCATCTGTGGTTCAGGGAGGGGGTGATGTTCCTCAGCCTCCCACCACAGTCCTCTCCTACACATGCTCACATCTCTCTAAGCCGGAAGGAAACAAACACTATACACCTGAGCCTTCTTAATTATATCTGTCAGGGGGGTGCTGTCCTCTTGTATTTCTGAGAAGAGCCTTTTTTTGTGAGTGTTTCTGTTTCCTCAGCTGTCCCCCAAGTGCTGTTGTCCTTGCTCTTTCCTCTGTAGGAGTGGGTGGAATTGTTAAGGGCCCCTCCCAATGGCTGTTTTGTTAGGGAATCTTCCAGTCAGGGAAAATATGATGACTGTACTTGCTTCCTCTGGTGATGAGGGGGAGCCTCACAGTGCTCTGGGTTTGAGTCATAACTTGTACCTTGTGTCCCAACCAAGAGTTTTTCTTATTATATGATGACAAAAGGGTGCTCTCTCTTTTTTTTTTAATTGAGGGCATTTATTTCTTGGCATTTATTGTCACAATGGTAATTAAGCCACCATGTGTTTGTTTTGCCCAACTATGAGGCAATCAATACAGTAAACTTTATGCTTATATAACACTCCGAAGATGATTGCTGCTTTTTTCACATTATCTAAAGTAGTATTATGAATATAAATGGAGGTATGATTTCTTACGTTTATTGTCTCTTTCTTCCAACTAAAATACAAGTTTCATGAAGGCATAGTATTTTGGGGCTCTGTCTTGGTTACTGACGTATCCCCAAATGTATGGTTATTAGGGTCACAGACTGGAATTATTGTTTCTGTCTATTCAGCATGCTTTCCCACCACCCGCCTCCTTATTATGGCAGTAAACCCTGTCCTGTCGCTCCTTTGCCTATTCCCTGCTCCGGGTTCCCCATGGGCTCAAGATGCCAGATTGGTCAATCATAGAATTCTTGCCTTTCTGCCAACAGTGGTCATTCTCAGGTGTGGCACAGAACCCAAGCAGTGGAGTCCTCCACTGAGATTCCCTGTTGGCCAGGGGAGAGTGCTGCTTTGCCTTTTTCTGGATTCTCCTGGTGGTTGCTGCTGGGTTCACTTCTTACTGTGTGGAGAGGATGTTTCAATGACCAGAGTTAGGCCAACACTTACAGAGAAGCAGAGGGGAGAAGAAGGAGTGAAAATCCCTGGGTCTGCTCCTACATTTCCCCATTCCTACAGTTGTTCATCTGGTTCAATCTGCTGTCCCAGCTACATGAATCCATCAGGCTCTGTTCCTGCTTAGGCTCCTTTGAGTTTGGGGTCTCTGAAAGTCTTCACTAAAACCCTACTGAAGTACAGAGAACTTAAGTGACTTTTCCAAACTATACATCAAAAGTAGGCCAGGGGGTAGAGGGGGATCCGTAGGCAAAGATGCCTAGATCTTTGGTTTCCTATTTCTCATTTAATAAAGCCTTCTCATTCTGTATTTTCTTTCTACTCATCTGACTTTTCTTTTTTAAATAGGGTCATCAATGGTCAGGCAGCCGTTCGGAAGTTTACTCACTTAACATTTACTGAGTGTCTATTATGTGCCAGTTACTTTGATAAACTCTGGGTGTGCCAAAGTAGATAAGCTATAAGGCTATAGCTAAAGAGATGAACACCTAGAAGTGTTGACTGTAGTTACAAAGGGATGTGCGGGGAGCTCCTTCCTCCTGGGAGGGCCAG